GAAGAAGAAGAAGGGGGAGAGGGAGTTTCCCCCCCCCTGCTGGTGCTGCTGGTGCGGATACTCCCGGCACCGTTCCCCCCTGCGGAAGACGCAGCCGCAGCCCCAGCCCCCGCAGCCGCCTCCGCCGTTCGCCCAACTCCGGCCCCGTCGTAGTCCCCACCCCCCACATCCACGGAGCCCCCCTCCCGCCGGCTGTCTCGACCCTCGTCATCACCACCCCAACCCTCCCGGCTCGCTCCTCCTCCACCATTTGTCGCCACCGCTGCTGCTTCTGCCGCTGTTGCCCCTTCTTCTGCTGCTGCAAGGTCCTCTTCGTCCAACTTTTGTCGTGTGTTTGCGCGTAGGTGGTACAGGCGGGAGGGCAGGGGGGGGGGGGAGGGGGATCGATTAATGGGTAGTTGAAAAAAGAGAGGAAAATCTAAAGCCGCGTCCTTTGCGAAACGGATTAGCGTTCGAGCTCGTGGTACCGAACGCAGCAACAGCAGTAGCAGCAGCTACAACAGCAACGACACCAGCAACAACAAAAACAAAAACAACAACAGCAGCAGCAGCAGCAGCATCAACAGCAGCAACAACAACAACAACAACAACAACAACAACAACAACAACAACAACAACAACAACAACAACAACAACAACAACAACAACAACACCCACAAACTCACCACCACCTCATCCAGCTCATCCTCGTCCTCCTCCTCCTCGTCCTCCTCCTCATCTACCTCCTCGTCATGATACGCCTCCCCATGACGGTGGTAACCCTCGTAATCTTCGTCGCCCTCCTCCTCCTCCTCATCATCATCATCATCATCCTCCTCCTCAGCATCGAGAGCATTCCACCCCTCCTCCTCCTCCTCCTCCCCCTCCTCATCTTCCCCAACATCCTCTTCCTGCTCTTCGCCGTACAATCGCGCCCGCCCCATCATGGCACCCCCTCCGCTTCCTAAAGAGTACGGCGATCGGGAGCCACTACCACCACCACCACCACCAGTTGTTGCTGCAGCAGCCGCAGCAGCCGCCGCCATGGCCGAGCGCCTGCGGGCGGCAGAAGCGCTCGCGCTAGCACCGCCGCTGGACCCGCTCGCGGGGGTAGAACCCGCAGAAATCCTCCGCCGTTGCTGCTGCTGCTGTTGTTGCTGTTGCTGCTGCTGTTGTTGTTGCAGTTGCAGTTGCTGTTGTTGCTGTCGCCGTCGCCGCTGCTGCGAGGAGCCTTCTCCGCCACCCGCCGGCGCTGGCGCCGAAGATGGAGGCGGAAGTCTTTGGGACGACTGCTGCTGCTGCTGCTGCTGCTGCTGCTGCTGCTGCTGCTGCTGCTGCTGCTGCGGCGGCGGCGGTGGCGGTGGCGGCTGCTGTCCGTTGACGAGGAGGCCGAAGAGGAACGTGGCCATCTCCAGGATGGAGTCTCGCGAGAGGAGCACCTGCTCCAAGCAAAATTATAAAATTCAAAATTTTGGGAGACCCACAACGAGTTTCGTGTTGACATGTGCAGGAGCAAGTTAACTCTAGCAGGTTCAAGATGTGGAGCACCAACGGCTGTTTTTTTCACAGCAGTGTTGGCTATCAGGAGAAAAAAGGAAACACATCCGCCAGGGCCGGCAAAAAGAAGACAAACCTATAAGTCGAGTCCGACCATACCATGGTAGGTCAACAGGTGTGAAGAGGGGCGAAAAACGTGTGGACCAGTCATATCTATGCATACGTACGGACGGGCATTAAACACGACCAACACCACCACCACCAACCGCAACAACAGCTATAACAACGACAACAACACCAACAGCAATCACCAATACCACGAAATATAAACCACCACCAATATTATGTGACAACAACAACGACAACAGCAACCACAACGACGTCGACGACAACGGCAACAACACTGACCGTCAAACGCCCGAGCCTCCCGAGCTGCCGCAGCAGCTCCGGCAGGGGCATGGCCAAGGAGGCCGGCGAGTCCGCTCCGCCGGCGCCACCCACTCGTCTCAGCACGCCTCCGCCCGCTCGCGCCGTACCCGCCGCCGATCGGAGCGGAGCAGCGACCGCGGGGATGTCCTCGACATTCTTGGCCTTTTCCTGTAGATCGGCCAAAGAGAGGGAGAAGGGGGGCGGAGGAATGAAAAGGAGGGAGAGGGGGAGAGAGAGAGAGGGGGAGAGAGAAAAATGAGTCAGTGGCGGCGGGGCAAGGGTGTGTGTGTGTGCCCCATGTAAACGCATGCCGTTTTTTAGACCATTGACCTTCGTTGGGAATCCCTGCAGCGCCCGGAAGGAGCGACACGCCGGGTTTCCGCCGGTCCAGGCTACTGTACGTTTCCCAAGGGTAAACGGGGGTGGAAATCAACGCGTACCAGTACTGTAAAGTGATGACACTCCAATATGCCCGCTACTGCTGCAGGAGACTTCTAGCTGCGTATCAGGAGACTTATATCTAGCGTCGACCGTCCTGTGGTGGCACCGGTACGTCACCCGCAAAGGATAGCGAGTTATCCTTAAAAAAAGACCCACAGCCGCGGCAATATTCACACAAAGGAGCAGCAGCAGCAGCGGCGGCGGCAGCGGCGGCGGAGGCGGCAGGCACACAACTCGCACGGGCGTAGGTGGAGGCCATAGTTCTACCGCAACTACAAAAAAAAAAAAAGCAGTAGCAGCAGCGGTATAGCAGCAACAGCAGCAGCAACAGCAACAGCAACAGCAACAGCAACAGTAGCAGCAGCAACAACAACGGCGGCGACAGCGGTGGCCGCAGGAAAAAACAACCCGCACGCCGCGCGTCCTCACCTGAACGTGAGCCACGGCTCTGGCCATCCCGAAGGCCGTCTTCCGGAGCAGCGACAGGCGGGTCTCGAGGGAGAAGAGCGAGGGGAACTCCCTCGGGAGGCCTACACACCAGGATGGGAGGGACCCCGTGCACAGCGCCAACGGGTTGCACGCCTGCTTGGAGTAGCCCCGAACCATCGCGAGGAACAAGAAAACAACAACGACCAGCACACGCGAAAAACAGAGAAAAATAGGAGAAAAAAATGCAAAAAAAAATAGTTGTGAGTGAGTGCCATGAAAAAAAACAAAAAGTTATCAATAAACGTTCGTTCCAAGAGGGGAGGGACCCCGTGCACAGCGCCAACGGGTTGCACGTCTGCTTCGTGTAAACCTCGGGCGATGGCAAAATCAAAATCCTGGAAAATACAAAATAACACAAAGAATGTAGTCAGTCGGCTCTCATTCTGTGGGAAGAGATGGATATCGCCAAGTCAGTCCCGACACACGTTACTTTGCAGCAGCATTTTGCCCCCGTTTTAAATTTTCTCATCTTATTTATGCCTTTTCGTTCTTCTCGGGCAAGACAGCACTCATCCTAAATAGCGTCACGTCTGCGTGACCCCGGCCGGCGTGCGTCAAAAACATTGTACCAAAGAAAAGGCGTTGTAAGGGCCGACCAACGTCCGTAAAAAAGATGGCACACAGTTGCTGTTGTCTTCACATCAAAAACCGATCCGTTCTGTCTGCCCAGTACCTTCTTCTGCCCGTACTATACTAGTCTTAACACTTGACGGGGTCGATTCCCGTGGTCACAGACTAACGTACCCAAAAAAGGTGTACGAAAATAAAAATGGACCCGAAGGGTCACCCTAAGTCAATACCAGGTAGAGGTCAACGACAGTATCACGAAGAAAAAAAAGAAAAAAAATGATCTCTCTGTCTCTGTTTCTGTCTCCGTCTTGCCTGACGCGAAACTTTCCGCTGCAGTCCCGAAACGATGCAACGCCTCGCTAGATCGTGCAGAACCGAAGGGTGGGGGTCCGGGAGATCACCGTCCCCGGCGACGCTGCCGTGGCTCACGAGACTGGAGGGTAGGGGGGGGAGGGGGGGGGGTGTACTCATAGTCGTGCATGCCGTAGTCGTTTGACCATTGACCTCGCATCCCTACAAAGCCGGGACGGAGCACGCCGGGTTCTCACCGGACCAGGCTCTCACATCACCAAGCGCGAAGCGCCGTGAGGTATTTGGCGAGTCGCATGAAGGGTGAGCTGCATCCTGCTAAGGGTGTTCGGCATCTTGTGCTTACTTCCTTGCGTACGGATGACAGCTACGTATGACTTAATTTATTTTCTGGTGCTTTCACTTCCAGAGACAGTTGTAAGCACTGTGTAACTGCCTCGAGGAAGCTTGACCATTTTAACACAACGTGGTGCGATCATCCCCCGTTGCGCGGAGTGAGGTTTCTCGACCCCGCACAACATGATCTACTCGACCACCATTATGGTTACCGCCAAAAAAAAAACGAGGTAAAAAAAAAACGGTAACCTGGTTGCCGAGTTCACGAAGTGAATTGTCTTGTTTTACAACGTCGTTGCCAAGCGACGAAAACCCAAACCCCGATGGCAAACACGGAGTGGGGGGCTTGTTTTACAACGTCGTTGCCAAGCGACGAAAACCCAAACCCCGATGGCAAACACCGGGGGGGGCGGCTTGTTTTACAACGTCGTTGCCAAGCGACGAAAACCCAACCCCGTTCGGGGGGGGGGGGGGGGGGGGACCCCTTTTTTTGGTGCCCAAATTTTTAAAAAAAAACCAAGGCTGCCCAAATTTTTAAAAAAAAACAAAGAAAAGGGGTTCTTTCCGAGAAAAGGGGGAACCACAAAAATGGGGGGGGGGTTTGGGAAAAACCAAAAAAAAAAAACGCCCCTTTTGGGAAA